CTCATTTCTTGCTGGGTATATTTTGAACATAAATCATGAAACAAATCACACAGGGAAACTGACCAAGTGCTTATAATGATTATAACGATGAACAAAGAAATTGACTGGAGCCATACTTAAAGCTGTGCAGAATATTGTTTTTACGTAAGAAAGACTCTACCGTGTTCCTGCTTGGAGCAGACAATGAAACAGCTTGTTCGGTGGGAAGTATTTTTAGGATTATGTAAGAACCACCAGCCACAGAACTGTGTTCCCATCCAAAGGTTGTCAAACTACTTTGCAAAACAGCATTTCAGGCATTTTACAATAAACCAAAAGTCTACTAAAAGTTTACAAATAAATCTAAAAAATCCCTGAAGTGCCATCAAGTATATTTTTTGGAAAAAGTAAAGTATATATTTTCCAATTTTGTTTTTACAGCATTTTTCCTTGCTTCTTTCAAGTTTTACGCGATACATTTCTTTCATATCGTTTTGTGTGATTTTTTTTTCTATTTTTGAAAACATTTGATTTTGCGAGATATGTTTTTCAAAGTTTGTTTATGGGATATTAAGATATTTTTCTACCCCAAAATGGGGTCAGTCTACTTGACCACCTCCATATCCTTGGCTCCGCGACGACCCCCCAAAAACGGAGACGCCTCCTAGGAGCCACATTTTTCATATACTGTTTACTCACCCCTTTTGGTTATTACTATATCAATACGGGTGAATTTGACGGCTTATTCCTGTCCGTGAAATTTTGCATTCAGCAGGGCACCTTTCCACACAAGCTAAAACGCGTGTATAAATAAACTGTAAAATACAATAGTGTATGGGTACAAGACCTCGTGGCACGCACGGTGTACCTCAGCTTTTTTTTTGGGGGGGGGGATGCTCGAACATTGCTTCACATGTGACTGTGACTTCAACGTTAGTGAATTTTACCTGGTACTTGTGTATGTACTTTTTATATTTGACACCAGGCAAAATCGTCTAGTGGTTAATAGCCATTGCTCGAACTTGTATGAATGATGCATCAGAGTCCTGCGCCCTCTCTGAACACGCAATAGTTGGGGGTGATAGTTGGCCGGTCTATGATAGTCGTCATTTTCGTCATGTTTCTAAAAGCGTACGTAACCAATTCACTCCTTCCCCCAGCGTACGCTTTGTACTCTCGTGAAAATTATGACAAAAATGGATGGCCCCTAAGGGAACTGTACAATTTGCTGGCTCAAAAGTGACTATGAAATGGATTTGTTAAGGTCGTACTGCAACCAACATATAATGAACACTCCCAACAACAATACTAATTTTAAGTCGATGAGGGGGTGCTTCTCTTCAGAGCAGTTAGACATGATTCGCGCTCTTCTCGCTAGCTCTGCATTAGTTGTGCACGAAGCCGCAAGGATGCAAAACAAAAAAGTCAGTCATTCCACCAACAAAGAACCGATATAAAAATGACAAGAAAAGAAATTAGAAGTCAACAAAAAACATGACCCTTGTTTTTCATGCACTGGTGTGGTATTGATCCTTACCGTTTCAACTCAATTACGCTCTTCAAAGGTTTTCTACATAAAGAAAAGATATTTTGACCAAATTATAAAAAGCGCAAAGACTTGTCACCACACACATTCCTTTTATTTTTTTTTTAAAAAGAATAATGTACAATTTCTATGTACGTTCAAATTTGTCGAAATTCTTTCTGTCCTGAAAAATGTCAAAGGTCCCTTAGATTATAAATAACTTTCATTGAAGAGAAGCTTAAACGTTTCTCATGGGAGTGATTAAGAAATTTTCGTGTTATTGTCATCACAGCCTCCAACAACTAAAGTGCACTCCTAACTGTATATATCTCTCCTGAAACCCGGCAATCTGCAAACACAGATGCGCAACCTCAACATTACCAATCGGTTGTGTCTTCGCAAATTTGTATCAGGAACGCTCCAACCAAATATATTGTATTACATGTTTACCTGGCTTTCTCATGGTCATGTCGTCTTTGCGTTTCTGTTTCTCTTGTTTCTTGCAGCAGCAGTAGGTGAGAATGCCGATCATGACGACAACAGGGACCACACAGCCAATAGCAATGCCTACTATCGCTCCGATTGATAATCCGTTGTGTGTATCAGGGGAAGAGGTAGGTTCTGTGAATACAAAATTATCAGAATCAAAGTAGGTTCACCAAAAACAAAACAAAACAAAAAGAAACTGTTCCTGTCTGCACATAAAGAGTACATTTATGCAACTTGTATTTGCACCGATTTTTGAGGGGATTCAGAGTCTCGTGTCTGAACTTAAGAATTTTGCAACCCCAGCAACAAACATTGCGATAAACGCTCAGTGCATGGAGGGGTCAGTGTCGTTTCATTCGTGTCGTCTTATTTTACTTTGTATTGTTTCCAAATGGTTCAACATTCTTCTAGTTTTCCTCCTTTCTTCTGCTTGTTTTATCCTTACACGGAAAAAAGGTGGAAATAATAAAAGGTGTTTCATCACGCAAGTTAACATCCGTGTTTGAACTTGGGCCAAAGTAGCAGTTAATGAGAAGCTCTGTGAGGCGGGCTTCATTGGATATGGCTGCATCAAATGCGAAAATGCACAAAGAGGACATCCGGGATTACGGTAAAGTCTGCTCGCGGCAGCTGTCAACATATTTGCATTCAGTAATGATCTCGATCAAGCCTTTGATACAAGATTTCGCAAAGGCCTTAGACTTAAATGATAAAAACCCACACTACATATATTGCTTTCTGTTACCGCACCCTTCCTTATTACAAAGAAAGGTGACAGCTGAACACACTTACCTGCATTATCGGATGTTTTGACATCATTTCAAGGTATAGCAATGATTTATTTGAAAAGCTTATACGCACAACTTCAACCTTAACCACCTATAGGTGTGTGTAAAATCATATTGAAATTGACGGATTGAGGACTGTTAAAGGTACTGTACTTTTGACAGTTTGCACACATTCGACCAAGAGGGATATGTAGTATTAATCGTTTCACAGACGTGTTTTACCCTTTCCGATCCGAAATTCAAAACAGAAAACAGGTTAAAATCAGGAGTTTTGATTTCTCCTACAAAAGTTGTTCAATGACAACATTAAATGAACAAGAGTTATTCTTACATGAGATTACGAGAGATTAAGGCGATTTATCATCGTGATGTTTATTGTTTCACTTTTTCCAAAAGCATGCTACACCATCATAACCTCACCATTGAAAGGATAGCATTAATACACGTCAAATTGAATCACGATCTCTCTGAGTGTAAATAGACAACCCATATAATCGAGGTTATGCACGGTACCATCTTCCAGGTCGGTACTTTTGTTAGTGGGGATATGCACAGAAGGTATACATCCGTACAGAACAAACCAGTGACCATGGAAGAAGGACACAAGAGGCGTTTGAACTGCCCGGGCTATAACATATGTCCAAGTATGTCCATAGCCAGAGCGCAGCGCACGCCTGCTACTCACCACCTGTTTTGCAACCATAAGCCCCCTTTGTATCCCATGATCACCGCTGAAATTTTTCGTTGGTAATCTGCATCCCTAAAACGTTGTGTACTGCAGTATAGGGAGTTAAATATTCATGCCATCGTTGGTGCTTGATATGATGAGACAACAACATCAAATTTAGTTGTTAGCGCAGTTGTTTTTATTAGGCTGTGTACCCAAAGTGTTCAAGTGCAGTTGTTGCCCTTATCAAACGCTTTCTTGTACTTCTTTTGGGAATAAAGATCCAGGCTGTTTGTAAGATTTTGAATTTCATTTGAGTTATTTTTATTACAGCATTTTCACAAAAAAGTATTTTATGAGATCACATGATAACTTCCTGTGATGAAAAAGCGTATTTTGTTTTTGGTGAACTTAACTATCCTGTGATGTTCAACATGTTGTTGGCCAGTCTTAGCCAAACTCGTACAAAGATTTTGAAAACTGATGTTTTGGAGTGACAAAATAAAATTTCAAACATCTGCATGGATAATGGAAAAGTGCATCAACAGTTATTCAAAATGGCAAAAGTAAATCTAATGTTAGATATTTTTCCTCCTGTTTCCTGGTCACTGCGATAAGTTGTAGTTAATTCCACAGAAAACACCACAAATATTGTTACGATATTACTAGCCCCACTTGTCCGGCTTAGCTGCAGGCAGCAATCAGACATTTTTAGAATGTTTACAATTGTTCGTCTGACCGGGCGGCGATGATCATCGAGCACTTTGACGTGTGTTCCAGACCATTATGTCCGCATGGCCTATTATGTCCGCAAACTTTTACAGGCCCATTATGTCCGCCCCAATGTGTCTGCAGGCCCATTATGTCCACCCCATTGTGTTCGCAGGCTCATTATATCCGCCCCATTGTGTCCGCAGGCTCATTATATCCGCCCCATTATGTCCACAGGCCCATTATGTCCG